CTAAAAGTTAAGCAATTTATTTTGGTTGTGGAACGAATTTGTGTGGGCTTTTGCGGGGAGAAATGGCAAAAAATTAACCCATAAATAATAAACACTTTTATTTTGAATGGGGGAAATGGTGTGAAATGGATAAATGAGGGAGAATTCATCTATTGCTAAATAATAAAATATGGATTCTTAAGATTCTTCGAAGTGCCATACTATTCCAGTTTACTTGATTATTTCAACATATCTGTTCATGTCAAGAACATTTGTCGCCATCGAATCAAGAGCTCCCATCTCCAAACCATTACATTTTTGTTTCCTACTTACTGACTGCTCTTGAGATAGGGCTCGTGGAAAAGTTTTCCTCATATTTCATTGTACGGCCACAAGGGGGAGGGCGGCCTTCTCCCTTTGACCGCAATCGACATTGGTAAAATTTTCCAAAATTATTCTAAACCATTTTAATGTTTGTTTCCTTGAGAACCACGACACACGTGCCAAATGTTACAACAGCAACCAAAAAAAAAAAATAAACAAAAACAAAGCAGTTGAGAGCGAAACGAAGCAGGGCAAAGCTAACCAGAGAGTGGGAGAGGAGAGTGAGCCTAAGAGAGGGAAGCTTTCAAAGCACAAAGCGATCGTTTTATATTTCTCTCTCGTTCCAGCCCGCACAATACAGAGGGCCGATGGATGTCAGACAGGGACAGGGCAGATTAATTACAGTTTTGTTGTTGTTGTTGTTGTTGTTGGTTGCTGTCTGGAGAGAAGAGTTGTCAACTGGTTTATGACAGAATCCCCACTACCCAGACCAGACCAGACATCAGACATCACCATTTATTGTCCAAGTACAAGTACGGTTGCCAGGCGGCGACCGCCCGACCGCCATTGCGTTATCAGGGCCTTGGTCCCGTTATCAAAGTCTGGTCTGGTCTCTCTTCCATGATTCCCCCGTTCTTGTTTTTGTAGTCATTTCATTTGAATTCTGTTCGTATTCGGGCGCACTGCTTGATTTGGATCAGCAAAAAACATATGATTCCCGCGCTGATGTCTGGAGCACACACTCAGGTCGCTGGTCTGGCAATACTTTCAAAGTATTTCCCGCTTTAGTCAGTTAGTCAGTCTGAAGTGTGGCGCAGACGGCGCTGCCAACGCTGCCGCCCCGTGCCCTAAGCTCTCAAGTGTCTCATTGATTAGCACCTCTACTGTACAATACTACATTCCCAGCAAACCAAGAAACATTCCTAACAAATATCAGTATCAAAAGTTTCAAGTTCTCAAAAACAGAGCAAAATCATTCTTGATTTGATTTTTGAAAATTTTCCGTTACATCATTGAAAGTGCGAGTGAGAGCTGGACAGCTCTGCTTTACAGCCCACAATTGAGGAGAGGGCGTCCGATTATCTCTATCGTCGAACCCCAGATGTCGACGACAACGGAACGACAACGACAGCGACAACAAAGGCAAATGGAAAATTTTATGTTTATTTATAAGAAACAACAACCTACAACAATCCCAGCAACAGATATCATTTAGTACTTGATTCTATATAATTGTCAACCCATAATCTGTACGCTTTATAGCACTAGGAATACCCTAATTGGGGGGTGCCCAATGATTTTCTGTGGCGTAGTTCGAAATTTTCCAAAAGCAGGAGCTTTTATATTTTTTGATATTTTACCAACAAAAATATGCCCTTTTTTTAATTTTATTGCCCTTTTAATTTTTATTGTTTTATTTTAATTAATATCAACTCTGAAAAAGTATTTGCCTTCTTTAAAAGTCTATCGCAAATGTAGAATTATTTGCCTTTAGTTTCCATCAGTTTTCCATTGGCTTATCTTAAATTTCATCATACTAATCGTGACTATATTTAAAATGTCTTGACACGATTCCACACACCACACTAATTCTACGGTTAATTTGCAACCTTCTTAAAAGATTTTGATAGCCAAAAAAATTAATCTCTTCCCCTAATGTTTGTGTGGCTTTCATATCTGACAAGCGCCACTCTAAGATATTGCTTTTTATGTTAAATGAATATGAATCTTGCACTCAGAGACGTCAAAGAACTCTAGACACTACGCTTAGGAAATACCATTATCTTTTGTGGAAAAATTTCTGGGTTTTGTAGGGTATCTGTTCGCAGAGATCTAAAAATAAATAAATATGTACATAAAATATTATCACAATGTTTGCTTGGGGTATAAAAATAAAGACAAAAAGGCCTAAATGATATTTACCTACTATAACTACTGTCTATAATTATGTCTTAGTTGGGGTTAATTACATACGTATGTACATATGTATCCCCTTTACCAGATGGCCGAATATGTCTTGTAATTATAGGAAAGTATCTCCACACTTAGAGCATTCGACGTTCGCTCTTTGTATCTTTTCTACTAAAAATGCGACTGTATCTCTGTCTCTGACTGTATCTTGTTGATTTAACTTAGTGAATGATATAGATTTAATTGCTGTTTGCTCTGTTGTGAAATGCTGAGATACGTCACATCGCTCCCTCCCCCAAAAATGGAGGAAAAAAACTCGATCGAGAAGCACCAGAGCAATACTCGCGTAATACTCACGTGTTGCTGAGGGCTTTCTGCCATCATCTCCGAGGGGGACGATGCGCTATCTCCCAGTAGAATCTTATCAATGTTTTTGTTACATTTGTATTTTATTTTTTTTTTTTTATATATCTCCCGTACTAAACTGTGTTTTTTTTCCCCCTTTTTTCAGTCATACAAAAGCGCAGAACACCGGTGTGTCAATTCGCATCGCCGCTGGACGTTGACATACATAGTAATCCTCAAGTAAGTAATAGTCATAGTGACATCTGTGGACAGGTGGAGAGTGGATGTACATGGTGCCCACAAAATCAGTTAGGGCATGTCCGCAGAATATCAGGTAATCGATAAGATAAATTGGCAGCAGGAAAACTATAGTGATTTTAAAGGGAGAAAGAGAAGGAGCGATACTTAACGAAAAAACGAACTTTGGAATATGAAATGTGGTTTATTGCCTCAATTAATGGTGTTTTATGGATATATAAACTGATGTTTTAGCACCGGAATATCGTGGAAAAGAGAAAACGTTGCGACTGCTTTGAGTCCCACAGCCATGCAGTCTATAGAGTGTGTTCTGAAGGCTTTCATACCCGTGGGAAAGAGTGTTATTTTATAACTTTTATTAATATGCAATAAATCCTCCTTCAAGTTTCCCAATCGACCGAGGGGCGCTGCCGCATAACGCGTAGCGTTCCGTAGGCTTTCAAGATGTTTTCGGTTGCTACAGTGCTCTATTTAATGCACAAAAGAGTCTTTTTTTTTATCACAATAAGAAAGAGTGTTTTGCTCTTACTATGGATTAGGGCACAATATTTTTCTGTACCCGAGAGGCATTGCCGCATTACGCGTGGAACCACTGTTCTCTTGCGATACACGTAGATTTTGGAGATGCTTTCGGATGCTACAGTGCTCTATTTCTGCCCCATCCTTATCATAATATCCATTAAAACAGAGGAATGAGTAATCAAGAAAAAGATTGTGCTCAAATTACGGGCTTATGTATATCTCAATCTTTTTCTGCATTACTCATTCCCCTTTTTTAGCACCTACTGACCAAGCTCAAAAAAACAAACAAAAAAAATCCAGCAACAAATAACGAATTTTTGAGTTGAGTATAGCGAAAGTAGCCAAAACGATAAGTGAAATCTGTACAATGAATGTGCTCGTGTACATTCGTGGGGTACTTAAATGAATTTCAGACTATAAATAAAATTGGCTGTCCCGCCGATAGGTTAAACGATAGCTAAAAATACATCCCCGAGTCCATACCGCACCGCGCCATTCTTATCACGTGCTGCTGCTGTAGAGAGGGTCCCAGGGGATGTATGTATGATGGTAGGATGATATGATGGCGGACCGCTGACATTGGGGTCCCATGTCCCAGCTCTATCTCTGCCCATATCTCTCCACCAGTCAATGGCGCACGACAATCGTACGACGAACACGCATCGGCCGAGTGATGTCTTCCCTGGGCCACCATCGCTGGGGGTGGCATTTGGTGGTTGGTTACTGGAGTGCTTGAGCGATAACTAAATGAGGAGATCCCAAAATCAGAAATCACCATCGAAAGTCGTGTGCCGAATCCCCGTCAGCATTTAGGGGGTATGGTATTTATAGCTGTGGATGATTGGCTGTTGAGTGCTAGGAGTTTTCAATTAATGATGGTTATGATATCAGGGAAGCGATCTACATATTGCGATCTAATATTTGAGACCAATGTAGAGTATTTGAATCAAATATTCCAGACAAAAACCAATCGAGGAGTGCTGCTGCAAGACGCGCGATACGCGAGAAAGTTCTAAGTAGTAGAAAAAAACCTACGATAAAGAATAATCTTTGCATTACTACTTGCTCTTTATTTTTATTCTTGAGCTAGCACCAGCTCTAGTGCACATCCTTCAGATATACCTTGACAACTAAAAGCTTTATCTACCTCATAGATCAAGACGACAAACAATACAGCAATGTATCTATTTCCTTGTACGAGTATATGGATGTCCCCCTCCCTATGTGTAATTAGCAGAGGCATTCCAACAGCAACACACACAAGCCCCTTACAACTGTATTATATTGTCTGTAGTATCTGCTAATTAGCTTATCAACACAAGCGTTTCTCTGCTTCGGTTTCGAGTGGGTTACTGCACTCAGAAGACTTCATCGAGGGGCAAAGCCTCGCGCGAACACACCCATTTTATAGTAATAATAATTCCCATTGCTGTGATTTTTCGCTCGTCGTTGTGTACTTTGATACTTGATGATGTTGAGCAACATGCCAGCGCCTCCTGTACCTCCGTACACCTGCCTCTGCCTCTGTCTTTGCCTCTGCTTCTGCTCTCTGGGGTGTGTACCTTCTTATCGTAGAGCTCTCTCTCTCTCTCTGGGCGTGACTTTACGCTGTACCTGTACCTGTAGCGCCAGTAAAAGATTTATCTTATCTTTGGTTTACAAGCTGTTTTTATTTGGCCAAGTTAGCGAAAAGTTAACAACAACAACTAAAAACGTTCGTAATGAAAGCTCTCCATGGTGGAGAATTTTTGGGCTTGTGGCTTATTCTCTGTTTGGGTTCGAGCAAACAAATCAGTTCGCCAAAGTACACGCCGCTGCAAGCATCGCAATCGAAATTAGAATCAATCAGAATAGGAACAGGAATCATTAGAAATGTGCAAGGTATGTGGTGGGGGATGGCATTTATTGCCTCTCTCTCTCCCTTGTGTCTCTGCGGTTATCTCTGGGACAGATTAGCTTTAATCGTAATTAAGTTTAGTGCACACACACTACTCTGTATGCATCTGTATAATATTTACTTGTGATTAAAAAATTAACAACACATCTGTCTTTCTTTCTTTCTTTCTGTCTTTTCTTCTTTCTATATGTATCACACACACACACACACACACAGACCGTTGTGCTTGAAGGCAAATACTGGAAACGTCATTCAGCCGTTATCAAAGCTGAATACAGAAAATGGCGCAAAAACTATAGATCAAAAGCCACGGGATGCTTAACCTATGATTCGGTAAGTTATCAAAATTTGTCGATTGATTTTGTAGAGTTCTCCATTTCCTTGAACTGAACCAGAATGACCATGTACGTGAATATTGCCGTAAAGAGCTGTAAACAATGAAGGAAATTGTATATAGTATTATAGTATGGTATAATATTTGATTAATGCTAGGCAGGGGCGTATACCTTGAACAAAGTGCTCTTATCTAGAGCAAAAAATCCGTAGGCTGTTAGAATGGGTTGCTGTCGCAGGTTTTTGAGTAAAAACTTTTCAATCTACGCAGGGAAAAGGAGGAGAATTATTAGAGGAGCATTAATTGCTAATCATTTGCGCTTTGTTTTTACCATTCTATCCAAGCCAGTTCCAGTTCTGGGCACCTTTGCCAATATCTTTGCCGTTTTATTTGCCTGAAAGAAAGAAATTGGAAAATATCATCAATTTCATGGCATATCTGCTAACAGGCAAATCCTTTAGTTTTAAGTCTCACTTCCACTGTTATGCCATTTGTGCGCAACATTAGGAACAGCATTATCAACCAGGGCACATCCCAGAAGATGGATGTTAAGGCCATTAGCAGATACTCGGCTGGGCCAAATTTGCTTTCCAGTATGGTGCTTATGAAATAGAATGGACCCGAGGGTGCGATGAGCAGCACCAGACCCACAATGGGCAGCAGCAGCAGACCGAAGCATTCGTTGAGTTCTCCCTCGGACAATGCCAGAATCTCCTGTCTGCCACGGAGCGAAGGCAGCTGCTGTCTGCCACGGAGTGAAGGTAGCTGCTGTCTGCCACGGAGCGAAGGTAGCTGCTGTCTGCCACATAAAACAGGTGTCACATCAATGGAGTCAGAGGATATTCCTTGGCGCAGCTCCTCGTTGCAGTGGGTCAAACCTGCTGTCACGATCTGCTTGAGGCACACAAAGAACACGAGCAGCAGACAGAGTACCAGGAAGCCATACGTGTAGACCAGCACACTCAATACGAGGGCAATGGAATCCACACCCGAACGACTGTAGCCATTGAGGTAATTGACAGAGGCGATAACCGACAGAGCGCCGTAGAGTATGAAGTTGTTGAGGAACTGCCGATCCGCACTACCGAGCACAAATTTCCGATTGATTGTCAGCAGAGACTGCACCAGCGCCATATGCCGATGACGCCTGAGGTAGAGGCACAGGTAGAGCAGCCACAGGACAACGCAGAAGAGGCGAAAGATGACCGTCTCATAGAAGTTGCCAGTGCGATTGTAAATCTTTAAATGAAAGCGTTGGGGCTGCAAATGCGCAAACGAAAAGGCAGCCGTTGTGCCCGAGAGCATTACGACGGTATAAAGCAGAGCAAAGCGTTCACATTCGGGCGAGGCTTGCAGCAGACATCGTTCCGTTTCGAACTGCCAGCACATCAAGCCGAGGAAATTCAGGAACCGGAGATACAGTCGCAGGTCCCGACACACAGACATGTCGCAGCAAACTAAAGTAATCAAGTAAATGGATATGCCACTTCAATTGGGTTTTACCCCACAACAAATGTCTATACGCTTTGTATTAACTAATTAGTTAGATACAAGTTAGCAATCCTCGTTAAGGAGGGGGGCATCTACTCACCTCCCTTTGGACGTTTGTGATGCCCATCGTGAGCACCAGCAGTGCCACCCAAGGCACACTCCAGAACGCAGAAGTCAACAGCATGAGAGCAAAGCGCCATGGCTTGGGAAAGCGGCCCTCAAAGAGCGTTGAAATTAGATAGAAAGGACCCGATGGGGTTGTCAGCAGCACATATCCGGTTATGGGCAGCACGAGGAGACCAAAGCAGTCATTGATATCTCCTTGACAGAGCCATATAATCTGATTATAATCACGGAAATCCGCATAGAACTCACGGCACTCGCTGGACAGCTGACGACTCGCCAACAACTTTCGATGGAAGCACCTCAAATTGGAGTGAATTATCCTTTGAAAGCAGACAAACAGGACCACCAGCTGTCCCATGAGCATGTAGGAGAAACCATACTGGAACAAATTGATGGGAATGATCGTCGTTGGGAGTTGTGCCCTCCAGTAGCCATGGCAATAGTTGATCATGCAGAGCACAAAGAGCGTCAGATGAATGCCGTACAGAAGGCCAAACTTCGAGGATGAATGATGATCCCTGGAGACACGATTGAGGCGCAGCATCGTCTCCAACAGACGTGCATAGCGACAGCGTCTCACGTAGAGCATTGTGTAGATGAGGATTGTGGTCACATTACACGTCCGACTGTTGATCAATGCATAGCAATTTCCCGTGGCATTGTAGTTGAGCATGAAAAAGTGCTCTGGCATGCAGACGCAGTATGTGTGAATGCCAATGAGGATCGACAGGACTGCGCATAGATAGAAACGTGCCACACGCTCTTCCGCAGGCGTCGCGGAGACTACACCTTTGTCGTAGTCGATGTTGAATCTCAGGACTCCGAGCAAGCGAAGGGTACGCAGCTGAATCCGCAGCTCCCCGAACGAGTGCATCATCACGGAAGTGTGGCAATCAACTGGCAACAAAAGAAGAAGTCACTGAAGGAAGAACGTTCCCGATAAGTAACCCCAGGAATCGAATGAATAATAAAGGAGTGCACTCACTCAACCTTGAACCTTTAAAATGGACAGGAAACCACTTTGGGAACTGTTTGCTTAGTCGTGGCGCAAGTTCGTTTCGATTCATTGGAATGGATTGAATGTTTATGCTATTAAGTAAATGAAGTAGTCACCTCTTTGCCAACCAAATCAGTGCGCAATGTCATCAGGATGGCCGTCAGAATGGGTATGTTCCACAGGAGTGTGACTGCCAGAGGATACAACACATGATCCATTCCCTCCTTCCTCGCATCGACCTCAAAGACAATCGTAATCATGAAGAATGGTGCCGCTGGTGCAGAGACCAGCAGGAATGCCATAATTAGCACTAGGACAAGTCCAAAGTCAGAATTCAAACGATATTGGCAGACCCACAGCAGGCGACTCCGCTGCAGCAAACGGAGGCGACACGTGATGGTCGATGGCGGGTACACGGATGTGCGTCTGTGGTCAAGTCTCGATTGTAGAGATGCACCATGCTGGCCAGTATCCGCACCAGACAATTGTAGAAGACTATAACCAATCCGGTCAGCAGATAGCTGTAGATCAGGAAAAAGCTCAGCAGAAAGGCGTGCCATGGCTCGATGTCACTGCGAATCATTGACATAATCTGCAGCAGGCCCGCGATCAGGACCTGGCTCACGTATAGCATGTATAATCGAAGGAACTGTCTGGCATGGCAGTTCTCCAGATCCACACGGTTATGGTGGAGCAATAGCGACACCAGCGACAAAAAGCTTCGACGTTTCAGGTAAAAATAGAGGTAAATCAGGGACACCAGCAGGCATGCGAATCCATAGTTGATCAAATAAAAGATATTCCCCACAGTGCTGTAGAACGGGAGCTCGTGCTCGCGTGGTTTGGCAATGACATGGCCCAGGGCCATCAGAGCAATGCATTGCGAGGCTACGAGTCCGGCCAATGCAAGGGTTTCATCAGAGCGCGAGGCCTGTGTTCTGAATTCCCTGTGTTGGGGTTCATGGGTAATGCAGAGTAGACCGAGGCACTTGAGACTGGACAAATAAACGCGCAACTCGACACCGTAGGACATGACGGCACATCACAAACTGGTAGCAGTAAGTGAATGTCCTGCTGCCCCACTAAATAATCAATAAAGAAATGGATCTAGATTTGGTTCGGGGATAGGGGCTGCCATTAGCTTTGTGCGCATTCAGGGTCGGTAAAATGTTTATCCAGTGAATAATTAAGGAAAGCCTCTTCCATAGAAAGCCTCTTTGCGCAGGCACAAAAGGAGACCGAGGGGTTCTGCTGCATGACGCACGACACTCTTACATTTTAGAGCAGTGGTGAGCATTTCCTTGCTTCCCATTGCTAACATTTCTGAGCGATTTCTTCTTCGACAATCCACGAAAACAATATACACGTCGTGTGCACTATTTTTTCACGCGAAAAACATACCTGTAGAGCCACGCGATTGCTCATAAAGCCGGCGCCACAGGTCATCAATGTGGGCATTAGCCACACCACATAGCCGATTATCCTTATAAATGCAGATCTGATGGATGGCATCACCATGGCCAGATATATGACACCGGTGACATCGAGCGAGGCAAACATCCAGGATAGCCAGGCGATGAAGCCATACACCAGACTGATCTCCACGTTGCACAGCAGAACCAAGCGATCGTGCATGTCCAGGCAGCCGCGAAGCCTGAGGAGATTTGTGGAGCTCAGCTTGGGATCCTTCATCTGTGCGATTATGAGGGAAATCTGCGACTGATTTGCGAGCAGAAGATGCCGCAGCATATGGACCATGCAGCAGTAGGTGCCCATCGTGAAGCTGGTGACCAAATAACGGATGGGAAATCCGAATGCTGTGATCACAAACATGCGCGTGGCATCCGACAGCCACTCAAAGATGCAGATCTTGACAAAGTTGTACAGGTAGAGCATATTGGAGATGACGATTAGCCAAAGGAGACGTTTGGGCAGCTGCAATCGCAGATGTTGCAGGTGCTTGCTGCGATAGAACTCCAGCTGCCGAACGATGCGTAGGTGGGGCGCCTGCAGCCATATGAGCCAGGCATTCTGCACCAAGAGCATGCCCAAGGCCAAGAGCATCACCAGACGATCGTAGTGATTGCCGGTTTGGGTCATTTCGTCCCTGAAGGCGTGATTCCAGTAGAGCACCATTATGGCCAGGCAAAAAATGAGATACGACTGCACCGCAAAGTGCACCACATAGCACATGAGGCTGCGACGCAGGCGAAATCTTTTCTTTGAGATGTTGTAGTCGATGCAGAAGATGCCCAAATACCGACAGATGCGATAATACACACAAAGCTCCACATGCGTAGCGTCCTCCATGACGACTAAGTAACGACTGAATGAAGTCGAACGAGTGGAAGGAAACCAGGGACAAACCATTACCTAAATTGTGTTTTCTTTGGACTGTTTTGATTTTCCTGCCGAACTGTCAAGCAAGCGTAACCCCCCCGCAAAGGACTCACCTGATTGGACACATCGTTTATCATCAACGGAAGGATGAGATAGACGAGCAGTGGCGCGATCCAAAAGAGAATCCTCGACATTTCCTGCATCGAACGAAAGCCCTCCAAGTGGCTCACGTAGAGTATCAAAACACATTTCATGACCTGATATAGAAAGAGGAACAACAACATGCCGCCATAGACTTGCACGAAGTCACTTTGGGACAGCAGTAAGATCTCATCGTGGAGCCTCAAGCTGCGGCCAAGTGCATCCAGAGAGATGGTGGATTGGTGCGCCAGGATATCCTGTAGAAGTTGCGCCTGAGCAGAGAGCAGTCGCTGCAGAACACACACCATGCCGCAGTACAAAGTGAATTGGAAATTGGCACAGAGCAGACGCAGACCGAACGCCACTATGGTCAGTATGTGGGAGAGCTTCATGCCGGAGAGCCAAAGTTGGGAGCCAAATGTCCCAATCATGAAGACATACCAAAGGCTTACCGCCACCCACACGTGGTACAACCAGCGCGGCTGCCACAGGGCAAGCGTGTCCACTTTGAGGTGCCTCATCACTTTGGACAGGCGCCGCAGGAGATTCACTTGGGCCTGTTGCTGTGCACGGAACCACAGATTAGCGAGCAGTTGGGTAACCGAAACAGTCAGTATCACTATATAATCATAGATATTTCCCGGTCAACGAGTCCGTTTCTATGTAGTTGAAGGAGTCTCCCAATGCGGCCACCAGGGCAGACACAAAAATCCCTGCCACACAGAACTGCAACACACAGGACAGGCAGGTGGCATGCAGCGTATATCTCCGTTGGTATGTGGAATAGGCCAAGTCTGAGAGACCCAAATAGCGTTGATAATGCAGAAAATTTAGGACTTTCATTGTGTTTGATGCTCTGCTTGAACCGAAGGACTGAAAATTCCACCCAGCAAGTCGTGCAAGCGAAAAGTCCACGCTGAAAGGGTAAGCTTCCCCCTTGGGAATCGCACATCAGTATGGCAATTACTTAATGTACCAGGGGGTGCTATCTGTGCTATCTATCTGTCTGAATTTCTCATTAACAAAAGAGTTTTTGTTGTCACATCGAAGAATGGGCATCGCCAGGGGGGTGGGGTGTGGGGACTCACCTGATTGCTCACATCGTTGACCATCAATGGCAGGATGAGGTACAGTAGCATGGGCGAGAGCCAACCGATCATTGTCAATATCAACTGGAGGTAAAATTTGCCCTCCAAAGTGCTGACATAAAATATCAAAACACATTGCATCACTTGGTATAGAAAGAGGAACAGCAGCACTCCGCCGTAGACCTGCACAACCTCCCTTTGGCAGAGCATCAGCAGCTCATCGTGGATGCGCAAGCTGCGGCCGAGTGCCTCCAAAGAGATGGGCTCTGCAGAAGCCAACAGACTCTTCAGTTCATCCGCCTGGGCGCGCAGCAAACGCTGCAGGACACACACCATGCCGCTGTAGCAAGTGAATTGGAAATTGGCGGACATCACACGAAAGCCGAAGCCCAGCAGGGTCAAGGCATGGCTGAGCTTTGGGTTTGCCAGCCAAAAGGAGGCCGCAAAATCACCCACCATGTAGCCATAGAAGAACCAAGTGCCGACCCACAGGCGGTACAGCCATCGCGGCGAGGCGAGGGCCTCTGTGTCCACCCGTAGATGCTCCTTAATTTTGCACAAACGCTGCAGTAGCGCCACTTGTGTCTGCTGCTGCGAACGGAACCAGAGATTGGCCAGAAGCTGCGTCACGGAGGCAGTCATTATCACGGCATTATCGAATATGTTGCCCGTCGACGTCGACGTATCTATGTAGTACATGGGCTCCGATAGCGCTGCCACCAGAGCGGCTATTAGCGTTCCTGCCACCAGGAACTGTGTGGCATAGGAATACCAAGTGGCATGCAGCCAATAGCCGCGCCCCGCATCGCAGTAATCGAGGTCCGTGAGCCCCAAGTAGCGTTGATAGTGCAGAAAGGTGAGTAGGAGCTTCTGCACCATTTTAACGCGTGCTTTAGGCCGTAACTCAAACAAAGAACTAAATAATATGCCGAAGGATGAAGCCAGAACAGGCCTCATTGATGGCAATGCCCTAATTGAAATTCCAATTCCAATTAAACAAAAACCCAAGAGATTTCTATCAGCTATGTGTATGTTTGGTGCTTCAGTTAATGAGATTTTCTTGGTCTTTTGACACAATATGTGAAGGGCATATCGACTAAAACTGAGTTCTAGTCAAATGTCTATAGGAATTACTCAGTGTTTTGATTGCCAAATGGAATTATAAACGCTTTACGGCGCCATTTACTGATAAAGAGTAGTCTAACAGCTTGAGGAGTATCAAAGGTAGGCAGAACTTTTATCGGCAGGGCATTAAATGGTGCAAATATTTGGTAAATCTTTTCGATAGGCTTAACAGTGTCTGCTTAAAGGTTAACGAACAAATCCAAATGGTTTATGGGCTAAAGTTTAAAGGTTTTACTCACCTCTTCGCTTAATTTATTATACC